TCGATGTTATTGTTCTTTGTGCAGTACGTTTCGGCTCATTGTAATTGTTTTGCATCTGTTTATTTTCTACCTTTTTATGCTGTATGGAGTGTGACAACTTGAATTGCTGCACGACTGTGTAGAGTCCTATGTTGGAAATCACTTGGTCAGTATTTTCAGTGTATTCATCAGCAATTACGAATAGTATAAAATTTGTTTCAGTCCTCAAATAAATTCTTAGTAGGCAAGCAGATTAGGTGCATTTTTCACTTATAAGCCATAAGCCATGATGACTATGATGAATAATGCAAAGTTTTATAAAGTATCATATTCAACTCTCTGGTAGTGTAGTGTAAGAACAAATGTTGCTAGTTTCATATGCACTTAAAATTGCCATTAAGACACACACACACACACTGTTCGACTGTTTCTGTCGATTCCCATCATAAGGTGATCCTGTCTATCCTGCAAAAGCAGTTTGCACTTGGACAACACAAAGCATATACCATAATTCAGGATACTAATCACCAAATATGTATGTTCAAAACAGAATAGTTCGAATCGCGGTGGGTGCGTACTGTGAAGAGTCCCAAACTAGGACGAAACAGCTGTCCAGTACTCCCAGGTTTTCCAATGGTTCTCTAACTAATGTCAGCTCATGATGAAAATCCTGTAACCAATCAAATCCCTACAAACCAACACTAGAATAGTATTTTGTTTCAGCTGGCACATATACATCATATCCTACATTCTTCGAAACTTTTCCTAAAATGCTGTCGATGACAAAGTTGAAGAGGATTAGTAAGGTGGAACACCTCTATGCAACCCTGCTGGTCGCTTGATAACAGTGGTCACCGGTAGTTTGCATGGTCCTAGTCTGCTTGATGTACTGTTGCGGTAGGGCTTTTTAGAGTGCTAATAAAACTATCCAGTGACACCTGTTTTTAGCAAGTGTTTTCAAGAAGAGGTTCTGTCCAACGAATCAAAGTCAGGTCGAATAGAAAGAAATCCAACAATTATTGGTCTACAATATGTGTGACGATAGTGTAGAGGTCATTAGGCTGATAGACACAAGATCGATGAATCAACATTCAAGTCTCCAAAAATGTCTCTTTCAGGAAGTTGGTAACGAACATCCGGTTTGATGATAATGCTAGCGTTACACAGCTTTTTTTTAAGATAGTGGGATTCTAGAGTATTTGAATTTATTTCCCTTTATCATAGATAAATGAATTTGGTCATATTCTTGACAGTATTATATTATTCCCTTGGATTCCGAGTGGAATATCTCCATCCCACCCTGTCCTCTTTAGTCTAAATTAACTCTCAACACGCTTTCCCATAAGCTTTCATCTCCTCCTCATACTGTCGCCTCCTTCATGTTTCACCCTCTTAGTGAGATAGATGCCCAACTCGTTATTTCTCATCTAGGTTCCACTCGAGAGTGTGGTGCATGATATCACTCAACGGTCTTCTCAGCGAATGTTCAGTCCTTCATTTTACTCTGCATACTTGTTAGCTAATAGGCTGCTGGTTGATTCGTTGCCAGAGTTCCTTATTGCTTATGCTTTCGGACGATGGTGATCTGACTGACCTTCACCATGGAGCGAAGGCAGCTGTTAACAAAAGTCTGTCTGCAGCCTGTTGGAAATGCTTTTCCTGACGCACCAGGTTTCTAACCCATATAAAACCGCTGACTACACGTTGGTGATAAGAATTCAGATTTCGTCCTTTATACTAAGCTCAATAGTCTTCCATATCGATTTCAGGGTGCCTTTTTCATCCTGGTTTTGTCACCCTCATCTGTATCACCTGTAGTTGACACAATGCTGACTAGATAAGTGTAAGAGGTTTCTGCCATCGATGGTGATTGTGTTGTTGTTTGGGTATTTTCACCACCTGTATCTTCTCTATGTTCACATCAAATCCCGTCTTTGCTTCCTGCATCTTCTGTCACTTTGTCTGTTTTGCTTGTATATCTTCAGGTTTGTGTGACACTGCACATAGACCATCCGCGAAGTTCAGTTCTTTCGGAGTGTTCTTGTCGGTCTTGTCACTCCCTATGCACAGTCTGTCACATAATCCATTCCACAATTGGGAATATCACTGGTGATAGTAGGCAACCTTGTCTCTTACTGTTTTCTTCACTTTAAAGACTTTTCTGAGCATTTTACCGTGAATCACTTGGTATGTGAAATCACCATGTATCTGTTGAAAGAGGTTGTTAAAGGTTCGGGGTACCCCGAAGTGTTGTAGTAGTTTCGAAATTGCTTCACGGTTGACGCTGGTCTGAAGTATTAGCGAACACTAATTCAAGAATAAACGATTTCATGTCTTCTGAAGGAATAAACATTGTGTAGTACTCCTATTGTCATAAACATTTCTTGAAGAACATATTCGTGTACACAAACATGTACTTCTGTACATGCATACTCAAACAGGAGAGGCTATCACGATTTACCTTAAATAACCTGTGCTCTGGGTACCGAAGAAACAAGTCCAGTCACTACTGCTGCCCTGGCGTTTTGTAGAGACAACAAATTCATGAATTTGTATTATTATTTTTCTGTCTGATATTCAGTGTAGTGTTATGTTGATACTTCTGAACTGTAATCCATTGCTATTATTATTATTGATTCTATATTATTTAAACAACATTCATATTGTTAATAACACTAATTCATTCACTATTAGGAATGTATAACTGTGGAACCTGAAGATGAAGTTATCGAAAAGAATGTTCTTTCTTCAGTAACCATTCTTTTGAAAAAGTTTCAATGGGCATATATTTAGATAGAGAGAAACTAAGTTATTCCATGGAATCATATTAGAACAAAATTAGATAGAGCGAACAATTGTGGTTTCAATAAATTCTTCTTCAGGCTCTACAATTATAAATCCATTAATTTAAGCATACCATAGCCTACCAGTCAGTAAAGGCAAATTAGAATAATATCAGACAGTGTATTGTGGAACAAGTATAAGATGGGATGGAACAATAGTCAGTTAGTTTTTGAATATGCATGGTCAATGAGAACGTGGGACAAAATCAGATGAAGTAATTTAATTTAATGATGTGTGTATACACATATACAAACATAGTCAACAAAAGTACCAGGTTTCGAGGATGAGTGTAATCAGTGATGTGGGAGACAGTATGAATACTACAGAAAATAAACCAACGATACCTAGAGAAAGGGTAACGATGGATACCGTAGATGAAAAGTCTTTGTATCCTAAGTTAAGTCACAAAGGGGAGATTGCAATTGACATTTTAAAATGTGTACTTAACAGAGCAGTAGAGAGAACATTTCCTGCAGCTAAACTGGTACTCAACTTCTCAACTAAACCGGTACTCACACACTGAGTCAATGATAAATTACCATCTCATCAATGTGCATCTATGAATTCAATTACTAATGTGAAGCTAGTTACATACTCAGAGGGCTTTATCCATGCGTCCACGTAAACCACAGGTAGATACCGGACACTCGATAAAACATGACGAGGCGTTCTCAGTTATATACTGCGTTCCTGGTAATCTATCTAGAGGAGCTCGACCACATCTTCTATTAGTAGCTGAAGCTGTAGCAGTCAATAGCAGAAGACCAGGTCTTTGTATATAGGAGAATTTATATCCAACAGCTCCGTTTATCTTGGTCTACAAATCCTCCATAAATATGAGCACTTTAAATTCTTTTGTTTCATTGACAAACGTTTCATTTCTGACCTTTTACGACTTCGTGACCTTTCTTATGATTTCACTTACCTTAGGTTTAAGTAGTGCTTTTCCTAACTTGCTATCGTATTTACAAAATCCTGTTCATTCCACTTCATTATTATTATTTGACAATCATTCACCAGTAGTACTTTTAAGTTTGCACCACATCATCGTTATTATTTCACAATTATTATTATTATTATTGTCGTTATTTTCACCCTTGAACTTACATCCGGTTTATTTTCTGTAGTATTCATATTGTCTCCCACATCACTGATTACACTCATCCTCGAAACCTGGTACTTTTGTTGACTATGTTTGTATATGTGTATACACACATCATTAAATTATTATTTCATCCTATTTTATCTCATGCTCTCACTGACCATGCATATTCAAAAACTAACTGACTATTGTTCCATCCCATCTTATACTTGTTCCACAATACACTGTCTGATATGATTCTAATCTGCCTTTACTGACTGGTAGGCTATGGTATGCTTAAATTAATGGATTTATAATTGTAGAGCCTGAAGAAGAATTTATTGAAAGCACACAATTGTTCACTCTATATGATTTTGTTCTGAGGCAATTATGATATTAAGCTGATTGCTAGGAGTTTGATCAAGAAATCTGCATTGAAATATCCGTCTATCGTCCAGTTTGGTTATGTATTCAGAAGTGTGATGAAGTATTTGCATCTTTGTGGGAGATTATGACAAAGTAATGATACTAAATCGTGTGCCTGGTTATTTTTAAAAGTAAAGCATGATGTCATTTGTGTGGTTTGTTGTGAATACTCTCTCTCTTCTAATTTCTTTTTATTGTTTATCAGACCTTCAAAGAAAGAACTGTTAGCTTCATCTAAAGCTGTTGTAGACCCGTTAAAGTTACAGTCAGAAAGTGAATTAGCCGTTAACTTAGCACGTCTTCAATTGGTCAGGAAAGAACGTGAATTAGCCGCTCAAAAACTTGAACAGGAAAGGCAAGGTAATCTCATATATCTTCTCCAGTATTATTATTATTATTTCAAAAAGCTTATTCATGTATATATTCTTATTTTACCTGTACATAGTAATCACTAAGAGACTGAAAAAAGCATATAGACTTTAAGCTGTGTGTGTGTTTGTGTGTGTAGAAAGTGGGTTTATTATAGTTTCCAACCAGGTCACACACACAGCTGCTATTTATGTCAAACGATGATGGGGAAGTTATGTAATACCACAAATTGTGTGGCTCTGTGGTAAATCCTTGAAGAATGATTGCAAAAAACGTTAGAAAATGCTTTGAGTAATAATAATAATAGCTTTATTTCGTAAAGTGTTTATATAATATGCAAAATATTTCAACAGAGTGTATTGCATGCTATTTTCTCTTCAGCTGGGATCTTCAAGTAAAATATATTAATCTATAATGGATCCTGTGACACAATGCTATCTGACGAGAATTGAAGATCAATCCTCTATGATATTCCTTCTTTGTCTCCCTCCGATAAATGCACGACATTTGTTTGAAAGACAATAGTGAAAAGTTCCGGAGTACATTTTGAGATCCAACAGCATAGCTCAGGAATAGTTACCTCATGCTTTTTCTCATGTTTAGTAGACAACTGCAAATAAAGAGGGTGTAGAAAATTTAAATATAGGCGAGAGTAGCTGTCATATTTTAAATGATTTAAATAAAGGTGAACACGAGAAATTCCATACCATATTATAATGATACAGGTCTGTCTGTCTGGATTCAACATAGAACTTGGCACCGAAGTGCAGCAGTTCGAGTTGCCACGTTCCAAAGAGCACACAAAGGTAGACAAGAAGATGAGTGAAGAGAATCAGTAGAGTTTTGACAAGTATAAGAGTGAAACAGAATGAGTAATGGTAGAAAGGAATATGAAAGGTTAAAGAGACTGAATACATCTACGCCATTGACAACGATTTTGGGCCATGTCACCTATTGTCTCCAGCCATTGCTTCTTAGAGTCCCGAGGGCCCCAACCCGGAAGTCTGCATCTCCCTACCTGACTCAGTTTAACTGTCAAGGATTTCATGGATTGATGCCATGTTTTTGTTTGGCCACCACTTACTCTTTTCCAACCTGCACCTATATCAGCTAGTTAATGCCCGTTGGGGGAGGCGATGGTTAGGCATGCGCAGCACATGACCTAGCCATCTCAATCTATGTAACTTTATAGCCTCTTCGATTGATTTTCCCTCCTTGCCCAACACTCTACGCCTAACGTCAACATTACTTACCTTATTAAACCACCTAACGTGGGAAAGAGATCGTAGACATCTATGTTCAAAAACAGTCAACCTTTTCATGTCTTCAACTCGTACTGGCCATGTTTCAGAGCCATAGAGAAGGACAGATCGAACTGCTGAGCAGTACGTTTCGTTGTTTATGGTAGCCCAAATTTTAAGCAGGCTGCTGTACTTTCACATGAAAACAGATTTTAAAAAGTTTAAATGCACTAACGAATAGTGTGAATCAAAACAAAATAGAAACTGCATAACACAACGTCAGTTATGTTGTGAGTAAATTTCAAGTATCAGTGATGAAGACAGAAAGTGTGCAAAAGTGCAAAATCTTCATCCTATTGTCAGAAGACAGTTAGAACAACAGTGTGCACTTGTACAATCTCTTTATATCGAATACTTTGAAGCCGTCAGTTGTGCCTTTTTTCCACAAAAGGAAAACCACTAGTCTGTTGACTAGTTTCCACTGGGCTCATTTGAAAGAGAATTCATGTAATCTGGGAAAGGTGGTTATTGGGCTTGGCAAACTAGATGACTAAATCACGTAAACGAAGCCTCATTGTGATTACTGTCATCGATGAGCATATTCCCAAAGTCTCTTCATGTAATTTGTTGCTGGAGACAACAGCGTTACTAACTCTGAGATTCTGTCACTTAAGAAGGTGTCTATTTTTTGTTCTTCAATGAATACAAATTTCATCCCCCAAGATTCTCTCGCATGGCATGTAGCTGGCAGTTTATTAAATTAAGGCGCTCATATTGAATTCCTCATTTTGATATGATGATGCTTTGACTATATACATATATTTTCTATATGATTTCAGCCCGTGAAGCACAACGTTTAGCTGCTGCTAAGCGCGCAGCAGAAGCAAAGCTACAGACAGGAAAACAACAGAAAAGTGGTCGTAAACAAGCATCAACAGCTGAGAGTAGTAAACAGAAGAGCAACAATCGAGACAAGAGTACACCGGCAACAGCAGCAAGTGAACTTGGCGCGTCAACAGTTGATTAATCATCATTGCAATTATATGATGTTGCCTGTGTGTATATCTTTTCAGAAACTGTATTTGATCCCTTTTTTTGTCAGTTTGATTTATTTATAATACACTACTATTTACACCTTGTGTGTTGTGTGTACACTGACTTTGCAGATTTTTAAGGCATTCACACAAGCGCTTATACACAGATGTAGCAAACTTCAAAGTTCGTTTTTGTACAAGGGAATCAATTTTTCCATTATACTTCAACTCATAGAATTCGTTTTGCTTGTAGAAGAATTACAACCACCCAACTGTTTGGTGTAAAAGGCTTATTCTTCATTTGAAAAACTTTCACTCCGCAGTTTTTAATGACTGTTTTAGATCAACGTTTGCTATCGACAATTGGTTTTTCGTCAATTACTTTCACTGTGAATACTAAACAACATAAACACGTGTAAAACATGATTTATATGCAATTTCATATGTACTAAACTATTCTTTAAGGTCGTATAATAACTTGTTCTATAACCAGTCAATCTTAAATTTCGGATTTTTTCATTCACAATGTGAATTATGCGAATGTGAATTCATGAGACTACTATTTTCTTGAAGCGAAATTAAAGGGGCTTATTTTGGTAACTTGTATAATTATAATTCTAAATATCATGGTAAGAACGAGATGAGTTCAGTTAAGCGGAATTGCCCATTGAAGATGAAACATTCGATTGTGTACTACTCTCCTTTATCTGTAAAACATGGATAATAGTAGGCAAAAAGTAGACCTTCACTTGTTTATAAGCCTGTTGTTTACTGGGTGTAATGCTGTATGGACAATGGCAGTTGAGTTTTAGGTAGTTGTGGTAAGTATTCAGTTGGTAGTTGGTGACACGTAAATCGTAATGAAAGAAAAATCCTGATGAAATCAAAACATGATATCCAGGATTGACTGTTAGTTTTGGTTGTATAAGCTTGCTCAACTGGAGGCGTGTGAGACAAGTGAAACTAGTGGATGAATTTAATTAAGTCAACGCCGATCCAAGTGATGCAAATCTATTTACGCTTGACCTTTTTGTGTACTCCGTGTTCTATCAACTTTCATAGTATCTTAAAAAGAGAATCAAAATCCTAGTGCAGTGTGAATAAGCGCTAGTATAAATTTAGATCGCTTTATTACCGAAGATGGAGTTCATCTGACCAAAAAAAATGTTATGTATTTGCGCAATACATCCCGAACAATCTAATCACACACATTTACTTGTCGAATCGATGTATATGAAACCTAAGAGGTCGATTAAAACAAACAAAGTGATAAAGGATTTAAGAATAGGAATAATTAACACTATAATTTCGAAATAAGTCGATGCCACAGCTGTTTAGGACTCTCGCGGACCATGCACAGTTTGGGGTTCGATCCCCTGCCGACGCACACCTGATATCAATGGTTGGCCTGCAAAATTTGGGCTACCGATATCATGTGCTAAAAGTTCCACACCTGTACCAAAAGTACGGTGAGGAATCACTCTATAATAAAAAAAAATTAAGCCGATAGTAAAGCCGGGAAGGTTTGGTGTGCGGCTAGTAACCTTCCCTCGAAAAATAAACACCACGGCTTCTGAAAATTCAAAGCCCCATATGTTCCACTTGAAACGTAAAGGGATTCAATAAATAATACAATATTTGGTAATAATAGTATTAATAGAGAAGGATTGACCAAGGTAAGCTTTTGCGATTCGCTCCTGTCAAACGTAAGAATATACTACAGGACTGGACTTAATTGACTCCTGGTTTAACGATAGGAAGTAAAGTAGTAGAACGTGTTGACCATTTCACTTATTTTACAAGTTGCATCAGTCCCAACGGATTGATCACTGACGAAATCTCACCACGGATACAGAAGGTTCGTTTCGCATGTGCCCGCCAACTTACGCCATCTCTGGATTAGTAGACGTGATATCTGACCGGCTGTCTACCAAAGGGCGTATGTACTGATCAGCACTTGACCATAGGTGTGTCCGTTCTATCTCCCGTGTGATGTAGTGGTATAATAGAGCAAGCATCACTGAAGTTAGGCGTCGGTCGACGTCTAGGTTAGGAGAGGAAATCAATAGACAAGGCTGTGAAATTACATCGATTGCAATGGTTAAGACATGTGATGTGCATGCCTAGCGATTGCCTTCCTCGGCAGGCAATATTGGCTGACTGACATAGGATCAGGTTGGAAAACAGTTAGTGGTGGTTACATTCAAACATAGCTTCATCAACCAATGAAAACCACAACAGTCAGTTTCAACCAGCAGCGTAAGGAGGTGATGACTGACTCGTTGAGGTCCTCGACATGATAAGGACCATAGAAGGCTGCAGACAATCTGTGATATGTCTAGCTCAAAATCGTTCTCAATGGCTGGCACAGATGCATCCACTCCTTGTGATTTATAATATCCAACGAAACTATGTTGTTCTCCCATATTGCTATTACTTTTGCCTCATTCACACTTCTGTTTATTATCTCTGTTTTGAATCTGTCTTCTCTTGCTTGTTGGTACATGTAGGGAGAGTGGCAACTGGAACTGCTGCACATCTGTGCAATGTTCTAGGCTGTAACCAATCAGTCATCAACTTGCTATTGTTTTACTCTTGCAATATTTTTATTCATACAATGCCCGCATTCGTGATCGATAATCTATTCTTTCCTGTCGTTTGAAGTACGTACACATGACCTATCACTTTTTAGATTGTAAACAATTAGACAAAGGAAGGAAAGTGCATGTTCATCATTACTAAAAATCGTAGAGTGAATAAAATAAAAAGATAGTTGGTTCTTCGCTCTCTGGATGGATTACAAGGCTTTAAGCTTTGAAGTTTCACTTGCAACATTGTTACTGGTCTCACGCCTAATTTTCTTCTTCACGGTGTTTCCTATCAACTGGCAAACTAAGCAAACTTTAAAAGCGCGTCAGACGGGAATCAAATCCACACCAAGTGCGTGGTTTAAAAATGAAAACATAGGAAAATAAAATTATATATACATTTATATGATAAAAAGTGAAGACAGTACAAACTTTTATATACAGTAAACTATTCTGTTTCTCTCTCTCTCTCCCTTTCAATCACTTCTTGCTGTTGTTCTTCTACGACGAGGAATAGATAGACTGGAAACCCGTAGGCGACAGAATGACAAGCTGCAAAGGGGAAAATGAAAAACATAAATAATTTTAATGTCTATCTAAATCTTCCCAAACATGATAACTGGGAACTTTTCGGTGAAGTGTTTCAGGGGTCAGCCAGCGAGATTTGTTCAGGTATCAGCTAGCACTAATACTGCCTATCTTTGAAATCCTTGTCTCACCTTGTACTAGAAGGTCCAGCCAATGCACAGTAACCTTGCTGAATTATTTCACTTGGGGCCCACAGTGTGTTCGGTTTCAAAACTGTTAAATAACTAATAGGGTTTTATTTAGTGGATAGTGACTAGTGGTGGAGTGGAGGATGCGCATTCGGTGTTTGAAATGGAGGGTGCCGGGTTCGACTCTCAGTGGGATTGCAAGTCCATCCAGAAGACGATCCCTGAACAGGACGAAATGCGCGTGTCCTGGATTCCGCTGCTAGTCACCATCCATCAAACAACAACACCATCAGACATCACCGAAGCGCATTTACTAGGAAGAAGCCTAAATGTCAACAGAAGCTTAGTATTTCGGTTCAGTCAGTATCAACAGGAAAAAAAACAAATATTAATTCAAACAAAATAATAACTATGAGAGTTGTTCATATTGTTCAAGATAAACAGTAATTTGGCGACGAAATGAACAACTACGCTAATATACAGCCAAATCTGATATAACAGAAGTCATATAAAGCAAATGAACTTTTTCGGATGCATTCGTATTGGCATTGACTGAAAAGGGGTATATATTCACAATGCCTGGGTTACAATAAAGTAATTATAACAATGATACGACTCAGTTACACAGGGCGAAATTCTCCTATATACTATAACTGACATTTATACCTCACGACAACTTATGATTCTACTTGTTTGCTGTGATGTCTCAGTGAGTGGAGCAGACTTCGAAACCAACACTTAATTGGTTAGAAGTCAAGTGTTTGAACACATCATTCTTACCAGTGATATCTTCACACCTTGTATGTAATACATTATTAGGTCATGCACGAGTTTTACTCTTGTAGGTATTGTTTGCGCTTCGCCGGTTCATTTGTAAAATAATCACCAAATTCACGAGTGGTACGGGGTTCGATTCCCGGTAGTAAATCCGGTGAAGAGGGAAGGTTAGGTGTGAGGCTAACAACCTCTACGCGTAAAAACAAGACCACTGCTACTTCAACTTCAAGTCGTATTTCCCACTCGGAATGCAAAGGAATACAATCATTACTATTTACATTACTACCAGTCAGTGGCACAATGAACTGTCTACTTTTGGCAACAAATTTGATATTTTTGTTACTAGTAAAACCAGTAAATACTAATAAACGAGTGTTACTGTCAGTATTATTATTATTATCATCATAATCCTATCTTAATTATATAATCTTTTACTTTTTGAGCATTGTTCATCTTCTTCATTCATTGCAATTATAAATTACTAACAAACTGACAGCCGTTGTTGCAGCATGTGAGTTTGGATAGTGATGTCTCAATCAATACATAATCGCATATCTCACTTACACATTACCTTATATACTTGTATATACATCGACTATTCTCTTGTGTACACACTACTCAGCTTTCAAAAGACTAGTGCTTCGTTTGAATTCATTTAGAATTATGGTCACCCTCCCCACGGGTTGACCACTGACGAAATCTTACCACGGATACAGAAGACTCGTCTGGCATATGCCTGCCAACTTACACCATCTCTGGATTAGTAGACGTGATATCTGACCGGCTGTCGACCAACGGGCGTGTGTACTTCTCAGAAGTTCGCTCCGCCCTCCTTTATGGCTGTGAATAAGACATGGCCTATGAAAGTGGAAGACATGAAAAGTCAGGCTAGCTGTTTTTGATCATAGGTGTCTGCGTTCTATCTCCCGTGTAATGTAGTGGTATACTAGGATGAGCAATATTGAGGTTAAGCGTCCAGTGAGTGCTAGCTAAGGAGGGGGAATCAATAGACGAGGTTGCGAAGCAGCTGCATCGATTGAGAGAGATGGTTAGGACATGTGTTGTGCATGCCTAGCTATCACCTTCCTCGACGACGGACGATGATAGCTAATACAGAATGGATTAGGTTGGAAGATACCTGGCGGTGGTCAAACCAAACCATGGATTCATCAGTCAGTGAAATCCACAACAGTTAGTTGAAGCTGGCCAGCGACGTAGGCAGGTGTAGAAGTGTACGCTGGTTGGGGTCCTCCACATGGTAAGGACCATAGAAGGCTGCAGACAATCTGTGATATGTCTAGCTCAAAATCGTTCTCAATGGCTGGCACAGATGCATCCACTCCACTCCTGGCTGAAACCAGCCAGTCAGTCACCCTCCTAGTGTCACCCAGGGGTTTGGAAGTTACGCTTCATTCTTTTAGGTAGGCAACGTATGTCCTATTACAGAAACTCAGGGAATTCAGCATGTGTGATTAATATGGTATAGTTTACAACCTTGCCACTATGTGTTATTCACTTTATGTTTCTTCTCTCTCATCTTTATAAGATTGACTTCTGTGAGATGGAATGAGATGTTACTCAACAATCATCTGCATTCCCGTACTGCTGGCAACTAGTTGTACCTATTGTATGAAGGCCGTTTGGAGAAAGGTTCAAACCCGTTACGCAATGGGTGGAAGTCGTGTCCAGACCAACAATCAAGCGACAGCTCTGCACCGACTTATGTAGGACATCTAAATGCTGTATGGTTAACAGTGTGAATCTCACGTTTTTACGGAAATTTTTGTGACTAAAGACTGAGTCTGTATGTCACTGTGTATGATAAAAATGTATCATTCTTAATCAAAAATGACAATTTAAATATCTTTAGTCTTACCTTAATCGCATAAATATTACAGAGTAATAGGTGAATAGACCAACTGTTAGGACACATGCGGTTAGAAACTTTTGCAATGTAGATGTTTTCACCTTGAAGAAAAATAATAATAAAAAGTGGAAATGAACCCGGTGGGTTGAGGACATTGGACTCATATATATGAAGACTTGAAACTACACTGAAATTGCAATCAAAATAGCAGATTGAGTGAAGAAATATGCATACCTCTTCAATTAGTTCCTCATCATCGGCTGGCTGGCTACCCAGCTGGCTCTACACTGATAAATATGGTGTCTTACATCAAAATTTGTTTTACCAATGAAGTAGTTATTTTAGTTAATCAGCTTTACTTATAGCGGAGTGAAGGTGAAATTAAGAGGTTAAAGGTCATCAAAACAATTGACTGATAGATATTAGTAACAAGATATGTTAGTTACAGAATTACGAAATTCAAGGTAAGTTAATTCACAGGTGTTAGCAACAAGCTATTACATAATCAACAAGTTTGAAAAATAGTAGTGATGTCTAAGAAGAACAGGATGATTCAGAGGAATTACGTAGAATACAAACGAGTTAGCTAGAATGGTAAAAGTTAACAAAGTCAAAAGATAATTACAAGGGGAGGCGGAAAATCGTTCTTCAGAAACTGGTTACATATTATGTAGGTGGTCATGGAAAAGGAAGGGGCTGTACAAATCTCTTTTGAACACAGAGATTTGGCTTGTTGAGATGACATCTGATTGTCTCCACTGTATGCAAACGTCGTACTCGGTCACCATGCGAGAGGTTAGGTGGTGTGCGATAAATAACTTTAAAAGCCTTGTTAGGGTCGACTTGATGTCCAGTATCGACAACATGAGTTAGTATTGACCAGCGTATAGCTGCTTTATTCGGACCTTTGCCAATCCAAGATGATAGGTGTTCAGAAATTTGACGATGAACTTGCCTGATCGTACGCCCAATGCAACTAGCTCTGCACGAGCAGTTAAATTGGTAAGTATACATGGAAGAAACGAAACAGGGCAGTTTGTCTTAATACCCAACTTGTTGCTAACGCCTGTGAATTACCTTATCCTGATTTCCGTAATTAATTTTCACCTCTCCTTCAAAACTTACATATCTTGTTACTAACATCTATTAGTTGATTGTTTTGATAACTTTTAATCTCTTAATTTCACTCCCCCTATACCTAAAACTGAATAACTAAAATAACCACTTGATTGGTAAAACAAATTTTGATGTAGGAAACTATTAATTAGTTTAGAGTCGATGATGAGGAACTAATTGAAAAGGAATATGCTTTTTCGCTCAATCCGTTGGTTTTTCTCAATGTGTATATTAGAATTTACAAAATCCAAATATATACAAAACCTGTATACGAATATCAATCTCCTACTCACATCAGTGTGCCTATAGAATAGATGGATGTCCTTAAGAACTAATGGAACGTTTTTGGCGAGAATTCTAGACTCTTACGACACAAGTTCAGTCTATTTTTCTACTCTTTCAACACGATATTAATTTTTTACCTGATTTGAATCATCAAATTTACATGTCTTGTTAAGTTTAATTTCTCACTGTTACATCTACAATGCAATTTTAGTATAACTCATTCCATCTGTTACAACACACAAGTTCATTTATAACAGGATATGAAATTCTGGTAAATTTAACTGAGTTCATTGATTTAATACATTTTGGTGACAAAGAATTAAATGTCATATATCAAATAGGCTAGCGTAAACTTGATTATAAATTCACAGTGACTAAAATTGGTATAACTATTATTTTTCCTTTTGTTGTTCGACTGACGATATTGTGGAAAATTTTGAGCACGAGGAGATTTGAACAAGTGACTCTTACACTTCAAATTATACTGTGGAACCTACATTTTACTTTAACTTAGGACACACACACACACACACGCATGTGATGGTGATTGCTCTGCAGGATTCTGACGGTCGGTGTAAACTAAATTAACAAAACAATGAGAACTAAAGACGTGAAAAGTATTACTTCGACTTCTGTACAGTAGCTACATTTTCACTTTAACGTCAGTCATCATTTTCCGGGATAGAACCCCGGACCACGTGTGTGGTGGATGGTAAACATTCTATCACTGAACCACGAACGAACAGAAGCATCATTAGAAAAGTACTATCAGCCTATTGAATTTTATCGGTAGTACTCATTAATAGGTAATACAACTTACGTGGGAATCTGGTAACACCCAATATCGATCACATGACAAAGGATCACAAAGTGTATTTTGAAGCAGTTCTTGTTTTGTTTTTGTCGTTGTTGTTGGTGGTGGTGTTGGTGATGGTGAACAGGTTAAACATTCATTCAATTCATTCATTCATTTCCAGATAACAAAATAGTCAATCAGTTAGTTATGATGCGTAGAAAAAAGAGACAAGATAATGACAAAGGTCTTACTTGTTTGTTACATCACAATACTCGTTATTGAAATTGTATTTCAAATACTGATAGTGTTACCCTTTTTGGCTTAAATTATAATAACGCGAGAGTAAATAATGTATAGTGGAGCATTAAAATACCATTAGAAATACATTTCACTTCACATTCGGACTCCAGTTGCTCAAAACTGGATAGTAAGTTAGATAGTAACCATTATCCTTCATGATAAAATGTGTGAATCCACTAGCTGTTATCCTGCATGAATATTCACTACAATCATTCATTTTTATAAATTACATGGCTTAGATTTTATTTGGTTGACTTTGGTTAGTAGCCAGGGGAATCTATAATGCACGTTTCATAATGGATGCACCTACATCTCCATTGAGTGATTGTTTTTTCCACTGAGACTTGAACTTACTATTGCCCTATCTACAGGGGAAACGACAACCAATTATTGTTGTTCAAATTATCACTTTATAATGACTTGTAAATGGGCCAACAAGAAACCATTAACCATTAGCCCCAAAGTAATAATGTCAACTTTAAGACATCGTTGTCGAACCACTCCCATGTTATGAGTCGACATGTCAACCGAAACTAAACGCTTTGATCCAAAAAACAAACAACATTCGCTTGGTTACTCCAGTTTTTAATCGTTGAACACTATTGTTTCCCTTGGTCTTCCGCTTCTTATCCAGCACTCACCCACTTACAAACAATGAGAACAAATATTTATCATATGACCTATATTACTTCTCCATCAATTATGCTTGTAAATGTAATTATTACTTAGTAATCTCGTAATCTACACTGTCAGTGATTAAGTGTACACAACAAGCAAATGCACTGAAGCATATTAGAGTAGATTTAAGAAGTAGATATGTTACCTCAGACAATTCACACACCAACCTTCTTCGAACTCAAATACAAAGAACATGTACATATACAAAGGATATGAGTTCCTTCAAGGTTGCAGATACACCTTGCTGACTGGTGAATGCCAATTAGCGCGAAACCTAGGTCAGGTAAGGCTTCCTGCTGATTGCTTCCAACCATCTATTATCAACAATCCAAAGTGTACCGTGATAGCAAGCCAACTAGTAGCATAGTGGCCACATTGCACACTTGACTGATAGAATTCAATCTGCACCAAACAAAGAACTAGACGCATCACACTAGTCACTAGTGTCCAATCAAAGTATACAAAGAATAATTTGATGAGTTATCCCACAATAAAATAATGTAGCATCAGAAAACATTTTCGACATTCATACTAAAAATTTATTCTTAGTTAATTTTAGTAAGAAAAACAAACAACAAAAGAGGTCGAAATCATGCTTTGTTACACTTAACTGTTGTGAATATTAAAGCTCAGTTACCTGGAACAGGTTTTTCGTGTACCAGGCTAAGAATCACACTTATCATGTTTAATCGCTGATGATACTGTCTAGTTAGCCATGCTGAAATAGATGGAGTCTCGAGACTCGAACCAGTGAACCGGAGAATCAGAACCGGATGCTTAAGTCAATGAGCCACATCTCTACATATTCAAAGACTATATTACTACAACAACCACTACTTCATACTCTTAGCTTAATGTTACGCGACAACTACTTACAGTTCTATGTAGTTGGAAACAAGCCACACCTATTGTGTGAAGGTTGGTTATACTACCCAGCATTGTCCAAACCTAAGTGTGTGGAGCAGAATTCGAACCTGTGATCCAATTATTTAGAAGTCGGAGAGCCGAGACCAATGAGCCATATTATTTTCATTAAAAAAACCAAACTTGATATATTTCGGGTACTAATAAATGCGCCACACTAAATCTCACTGTCGGTGCTAGGAGTGAGATTCTGCTAGGACGCCGCCCAGCCACAAGCTGGTGGCTGTCTTAAGGGACCGCCCCCTCCCCAAGACTGATTTGTAGTCTGATCCATAAAATAGTGAAACAGCGTCAGGTAATTTCCCATGTTTTCGGTGACCGAAACAGGTTCATACGCCATTCGATCATTTCGAATCCTGGAGCCCATGTACACTATAGGTTAGGACGTTTGCATTTTCCCTTCGATTCCTGTGAGGAACAGCCCCCACCGCGTGCATGCAGAGGATACGACATACCCAGCAGAGCCCATGCATGAGTGGCTATATGAGATCATTTCAACAGGAAGACGGAAGTTTACTCACCTTCGGCTGTACCAGGTCGTTTATGTGGGTCATAGCTCCACACAATTATTTGGATTTTATGGGGGTTTTTTCCCAAACAAATGGTAATAGATGTGATTAAAGTAAACCTTTTAAAAAAAAGGGGGAATTACATATACCAAATAAAGATACTTATAATGTAAAACTGTTCATATACACACTTACGACGTAGGTGGATATGACTGCTAACATTTCCAGGCGCACATTTGTTCAAAATATCCTGAATGACATAAGCAATAAACAATAAAAAGGATGACTTGATAGCAGTTCTGAATTTCGGAAAATCATTCCTCTTACACTTAACACTACTTAAAACTATGTTGAGTGTAACATAGGACTACGAGCTTGAGATGTGAAGCTTCACTGGCAATAGTGCTGTTGTTTTCACATGGTAGGGTTGCTAGCATTGCACTCCACCTTCCCATCCGCTAAACGAGGCATACGAGTGCGTGAACAGGGAATCGAACTCTCGACCACTTGGTGGGCATTCTGATACCACCGATCCAAATGACCTTACAATATAATTCTAGACAACATCGCTATTTCTACCAGTTAAGAATGACACCACAGCTACATAAGAAGTGTTCTATTCTATTTCAATGAGTGCCTCCTGTTATACGTGATATTGAACACTGGAGTAAATATGAAACTTTCGCACTGATTCATGTATAATAATGCAATTTTTATTTTGAATTTACATGAACACAATAGTTTTCTGTCCAACTTGTATCCGTATACGTTGGATTGAATTTATGTCAAGCAGCTTATCTTTCAACTAAACCCACTGTCATCGTATTAAACCTACAGTTATGATGATAGCAGATGATATCTGTGTTATGCAGTCAGCAACGTAATTATAAACCTTCAGTCACCAACAAAAGTTCATTCACACCTTTGCTAAGTTTCAACATAAAACTTTACACAGAAATGTATCAGTGCTGCTCGTTTAACACCGTATAGCACGCAAAGGTAAAGAAAAGACGAACAGGAGGTTCAAAAGAACTTTAATAAGCAGTTATGTATGGGAGTAAAAACATTACGACGAAAAACGAAGAGGATTTATTGGTTCTGGGATGCTAAACAACAGAGTAAATGCATGTGCGCCATTGAGAACGGGTTTGAGCCATGTCACCAATAGTCTCCAGCCTTCCGCCCTTACTACCCCAAAACACTCATTCAAGCAGTCTACGCCTACCCATGTGGATGGCCCAAAACAACAGTAAGAGATCTCATGGATTGCTATGAGGTTTTGGTTTGACTAACCGTAACTCTCCCCAACCTAACCCTATGTCAGTCAGCTAACATTTCTTGTTGAGGAAATCAGCGACTTGATGTGTGTAACATATGTCCTAGCCACTTCGATCAGTATAGCTTCACAACCTCATCAATAGGCTTCTCTTCTTCACCTGGGATTCTACGCCGAACCTTATTATTACTAACCATGTTATACTACTTAACATGGGAGATAGGACGCAAATGTGTGGTCGAAGTCAAAGACAGTCAGCCTTATCATATCTCCCACCTTCAATGGACATGTCTCACAGCCAGCCATGACGAGGGAGAGAGAGACCTGCTTCGCATTACACAAGTTATTTGATCTATAGCCAGCCGCATATCACGTTGACGTCAGAGATGATGAGAGTTGACGAACAGCATGCTGAGATTCCCACCAACAATCAGTCCACTAAGACTGATGCGAATCCCCAAGTAAATAAAGCAGTGAAGGTGTTCAACCACTTCACTTCCTACCTTTAAGCTGGGAGTCGGTGCACAACTAGTCTTCCAGCATCATCTCACATTTGACAGGAGCACATCGAATATACAACAAGACCTCTGCTTTGGGTGTTCAGAAGACTCCGTAGTTTTCTCCAGCGTCTTTACCTAGAGACAATATGGTTCATACACACCAAGACGACGAAAACGGTCACTGGTGATGACAAGTCAATCCCTTGGTTGCTAGAGTTAACCGATGTCACATCAATTAGTACATTTATGATGAAATCGAAGAGAAGTGGAGACATTGGACATCCCTGGAGGACACTTAAGGATGTCATCACCTCGAATGATGACAACTCTCCATCAGCTAAGTTATGACACAGCTGTGTGAGTCCGAATAGTGTCTTGACCGGTGCAATATACTTTATCGGCACTCTCTCCACAGACAATCATTACCACAGCACCTCTCAGTCGAATACCGTCTTCTTTTCAAGAAACATGGCAAGAGTCGAAAAGTGGTAAGCATGACTGTTTTCCAGAATCTGTCTAAGGCGAAGATATGACTAATACACCCTCTCTCTGACTTAAAGTCTGCATGGTTTTGCCGGGAAACCTGTTAACCTCATTTACAGTTGGTGACACACACCGTGGAAGGTTATTTCTTCTTGGAGTGCCTGGAACAGAAGGAATATCAGTGTTGTGTGACCGTTGAGCCCAGGGGATAACTACTTCAGGTGTGTCACACAAAGCCTGTGTGAAGTGGTTTTCGCGATTGTCTGCATATTAACACCGGATTCTAACCAACACAAGGTAATTCGGAATATATAATTTTCGGGGTTGACATTTCCTAACCCCATCTACCCCCAGAGCGAAGTGGTAGCACAGCCGACTTTCCGGTTACCTGAGGGAAACATCTTAATGCTCTTACACCCCCTATTCGCCAACAATACGATCTCACCCACAGAGCCCAACATAGTGTTAACAATTTACACTATGATGGCAACTGCTTTTAGCGCAATCGCTGCCCAAGCAACCTTACTGGCACATTACAGGAGCTTGAGGAACATAAGTTCCAACCATTGTAACGCGTTAGTTCATTGTGATATGCAAGCACAACCACCACATCACAGTAGCAGCTATCAGTTGGAGCTTTTCCACATAGTTTACTTGACTTTCTACGTGAGAATTGTGGAATGCTGGAAATATACTATCACTTAGTGTTCTTTGGTCCCAGTGAGAACCATGTATATATATATATATATATATATATATATATACTCTTATTTGCTAGAACGATAGTTTCTTGTTATCCCACATATGTGAAAGTATACAGAATCGCTTCTGATAAACGTAGGGAGATGGCAATGCATTCGTAACACTTTAACGCATAATTACGTGGTTAAATCTGTTTAACTTCAATTGCCCAACTTTCATTGAGTTATGGTCCATTCTGTGTTAGTGTTGTATACCAAGCCAGGATTCAATACCTGCACTTGCTTACTGAGTTGTGTTGGTTGAGTAGTCAATACAGATCGCATGAGGCAAAGGAAGCTAGATTATTTATCATCATTAAAATAAATAAAGAGTGGAAATGCTCACCTCACACTGCTTTGAAATATCACTAAATGATCCCGTCTCGCAAAGTGCTTCATCCCAGAACATTTGATTTCCATAGGCGAAATCTGGTTTCAACACAGAACAACGGAGTAGTGGACAATATGAAGCTAAGCAAATAGTTCGACTTTGACTATAAGCATTTATTTTATGCCTATTGCCAATATGTGAATCGAAGGCTTTCTCCGTATAAAACCGTTTCCCACACATTTGACACTCCCAATCATAGTCAGATATTTTATTCTTCATTTGTTCGTGTACAGCGTAAATATCATATTTAGGATGGAATGGACATTGATCAGCAATAACCACATCTGTATAATCGAATAGGGGGAAAATAACCTTTCTATGCGTAAAAGAATTTTTGACAAACTAGGAAAGCCTACCTCATGGAGGACGGAACGGGCTACACGGCTTTGCGAAATGCTGCAGTGATCTAAGATATTAGCATTGGTTGTTATCATTGGGATAAAAACGAATAATAACGTGGACACAGTATATGCTTGAGAAACAGCAGCAATGACCATTCAGATGAAGCCCTGACCAATAAAACATAAAAGTGAACACATTACCTAAGTGGAATGGAAATGGAACAGAAGCCAACCGGCAACTATAAAGGATTTAGAATATATAGCCAGTCTATAAACGCTATTTTGTCCGTCCGCCAGTGATTGGTCAGTTTGTCATTAGTGTTGCGGTAATTTCAAACACTACTAGACTGCTTTATGAAGTTCTCATTTTACACCCAGGCTTACTATAATGTTGAATGAAATCTCACTAATTCTTAAATAATTCTAACACTCTATAGTGAGTAAATTCTGAATCTGGAATGGAATGGATTCTTTAATGGCACAGACTAGAAGTCAGTGCTGGTTTTCAGCATGACTGGCACTAATTCAGCATCCTACGATTTTCCTAGGCAGTTTCACAAGTAGCGCAGAACCTATTGATTTTACTAATCAGTGTATTTTTAGCCCTCTCAGTCCAGATTCAGCACTGACTTGCATTACATCAGAACAGAAACACTTAGTTCAGCGCATAGTGGTAATTTTTCTGCCTTGTTTTAGCACTAGAGGAATTATTTCAGCTACAAATCCTATTTTCTAGGTCTCGTCACATTAACTAACAGTCCAGTACCCTTTTAGGTACGACCAGCGTTACTTCAATACATAATGGGTTCATTTCGGGTAGATAATAGATTTGTAGTGACCCGTTTTATTACTCATAATCGTACTATACTTTCATTGTGTAATTGTACTTTCATTTATTTATTACTCTAAATCTTGCATGTTAAAAATTGATACCTTTTGTACTCGCTCGATTTTTGAATTGTTGATTGCTGCAACAATACACTATCGTATTCCTTCGCAAGTGCCTTTTGAATTACGTTGCGGATGTCGAGTAATCGCAACGTTAGGGCACAATGGTAAATGCGAAGAAATACTAGAAGATACGTGTATGCCAGTTTAATCAAAATTCAGCAGCACAACAAATTGGTGAGACCGACAGAGCTGATTGATGGACTACATCATTTCGAAGTATACACAGTGGAATAAATCATCTTTTCCATCGCATTAACTTTAATAACTTCATAACATGTGGATGTATAATTACTGATATTTCTGCTAAAAATAACTCCGGACCTGGCGGCACAGCGACTGCTATCCCAGTTCACCCTGATACTCAAGCAGCTGTAACAGCTGGCTGTTATGCAACACCTCAATTCCAGTTCTCTGTCCTCAAGCTTCAGCATTGTCTACAGGTGTACAAACACTCTTACAATGGTCTGCAACTCCATTTACTCAAGCCGGTCCTACAGCTGTTCAATTACAACAGTTTACCCAATCACCTCAACAACAACAGATTCAAGCACAAGCTCATCAGTTACAACCAGCTCAACAGCAAGCTTATATCCAACAACATCAGCAACAAGCAACAATGATGGCAACTGACGTCTCTGTCAGTGGTCAACCTGGTACTGTGGCTGCACGCTCCTATGCTACTCCCCAGTTTATCACTCTGGCACCAGGAGCTCCATTAAAAGTCATGACTGTTGGTCCTAACGGTCAGCTGATTCAAACCACTGGTTTACCACAGCTTATGCCAACTGCTCTTGTTGGAATGGCTATCAATCAACCAACTGCTACTCTCCAACCTCAGCAAACATCAATTCAAGTTACTCCTCAACGCCGAGTAACAACAGCCAGCAACAACAACAACAACATGCTGACGGACGTTCACTTTCAACCGTATCAGCAGCAGCAGCTACCGCTGCACTCTTCTCTGGCACAGCCATCTCTTCTTGTACAATTCCACTTGTACAACCAACTTTCATGGAAATAGAGGTAACTGAATGTTTACCCAAGTCATTTCCATACTTCCTTATTACTATGCTATTAACTGTATGTTAAGATATAAATCTATTCTGTAACTCCTTACAATAACAACCTCATTATTATTCTAATAATAATTTTTCTGCTTTTATTGTTACATGTTGCACAACTTTCTAAACATTTTAGTTCGTTTCAAAGTTGTTAACATTTTCGAATATATACAGTTATAATCGAACCTCAGAAAACTAAAAAGCCTCAATTCGGTTTTCATATTTTTTTTGTCCTTGTAATTTACAATATCATTCCGAATACAGGTAAACTTCATTTACCTGCATTCTACGGAGGGGCTATTGTAGTGACCCGTTTTATTACTCATAATCGTACTATACTTTCATTGTGTAATTGTACTTTCATTTATTTATTACTCTAAATCTTGCATGTTAAAAATTGATACCTTTTGTACTCGCTCGATTTTTGAATTGTTGATTGCTGCAACAATACACTATCGTATTCCTTCGCAAGTGCCTTTTGAATTACGTTGCGGATGTCGAGTAATCGCAACGTTAGGGCACAATGGTAAATGCGAAGAAATACTAGAAGATACGTGTATGCCAGTTTAATCAAAATTCAGCAGCACAACAGATTCACTTACCATAAGAAGGTATTATTGACGCATAGGTTAGAATTAGTTTAGAATTATCACAAGTTTTGGGTAACTGGCTGCCCATGATATTGCAGAACAGGTAAGAAACGGTATTTCAGTTAATTTGTTTGCTGAATTCAGCGAATTCTTAGATACCAAAGTCTAAGGAATTGGGCGGAGTGTGAAGAATGCAACGGACGCTTAGAAAGCTGATAATCTTATGTAACTTCAGTTATCGCCTGACTATTATTTTCAGTGAACTGTAGTGGTAAATAATTCCCCAAAATTATTGACCCCAGCAATCATCACTGAACATTGGATGCTGACACTCACTGTTTAAGTCAACTTGTTTAGCTGAAGGCTTCCGATCAAGCATCCAAACCATTTGTTACTCCGTCGTGCCACGTTCGTTCGTTTGTGCACGATCACTAGCTAGTAAAACAATCATCTCGCACTCCGATTTGGTCCCGAAATATAACTCGTGATTTGGACGATCAATTCTGGTGTTTTGCTTTGCCTTTGGTCTACGCGGAACGAATACTATAGAAGTTGTTGGTATTAGATCTTGCGTGAGTATACTCCGTACAATCCACGAACGTCACCATCGTCAGCCTCTAAAGAACCTTAAGCAAGTATAAAATACCCAGCCACCCGTTTAATCGCGTTTAGAAGGAAATAGTTGATGAAAACAAATATATATCAATATACAGACTGTTATCACGAAAATGGGAAAGCATGCATTGGAGATCATAATGAGTAGTGTAACACATGTAGGCCTCATGTTTTTCATGGAAATACACAAGGTTTCCACTCGCATTCAGAATTCGTCTTGAGTTTATGCAAAATAAATTAGTTTACCCCATTGTGTTGGATAATCTTCCAAAATCATTGGCCTGTAGTACTCATCATTCGGCATTGGATGCTGACCTTGACCGTCTAAGTCAACCCGTTTAACTGGAGACTCACAGTCAAATATCCACATCATTCAGCAAGCTACCTTGTTAAATTCGTTCGTGCACAATTCCTAGCTAGTTAATAAATCATACCCGCAATACGAGTTCGATCCCGAAACATACTTCGAATTTTGCAAGGTCCATTTATTGTTTTGATTTGCTCATGTTCTGTGGGGAAAAATACGATAGTTGTGAATATAGCAGTTTGCGTAAATATACGCCGTACTTTCTGTAGCCGTGAACACATTCCCTTCTCCTCCACCTTTGACCCTTCAAGGCTTTGTCATTGACGACTTATCAACTTTCGCAGTGACCATTCGTTGAAATGTGACCGATCAGTCAACGATCTACGAGTGGTGACAGTGAAATGACAAAGTTTTGCAAGTCTGTCAAGCGGCCCTCAGTTTCCCCCAACTATCGTCTAGTGTCCCCCAAAAGTAAGAACTCATGGGGTCGATTGAAATCCAAAATACGTTTACCTAATAACCCTCACAGGTGTTAGTGTCATAATTCCTACTGCCAGGAAGCCAAAAGTTGTCGAAAACCCCATAATTTGGACATGGACTCAAAGGCTATGGGAGGCAATCTCACAGTTACACTTTATTGGCAATCTAGGCCGGTGGCAGTAGCCACCTCTTCTACATTACAGATACAGCTACCAAAACTCGGTACTTGGTTCACTTAGGTGCCACAGTCAGGGTCCTTCCTCCTACGGAGGTCGATCGCCAGAAGAAACCTAACTTCAACATTAGTTGTTGAAAAACATTAACCGATGAACCCTTAGACATAAGTAAAGGCACTTTTCTTTGCGACTTGTCTACCAGTACTTCATGCCCAAATCTTATCACTATAATATCTTCAATGTGTTATGCAGCCTATCTCACCCAGCAGCCCGAATTGCTGTCATAATGATTACTAGTGGGTTCTGCTGGACTAGTATAAAAAAGAAGCAATGGAACAGGCCCGTACATGTCTAGCTTACCAGAAGTTCAAAAACATCAGAAGCCGTCTTGGAACCATTATTATTCAAATGCTCCTGCCGAATACGCTCATGTAGATCTGGACGGAACCCTGCCAGAATCTCAAGGAAATTCTTGTATCTTGACCTCCAATAACCGTTTTACACGGTGGCCTGAAGGAGTACATCTCAAAGATGTATCTACTAGAACATTCTTACACACGCAGGTTGAACGATAGGTCACAAATTTTGGATGTCCATCCCCCATAACAATTGATTGCGGGTGCCAATTCGAAAGCGGCTTATACTTAGCCCCGACTAAGATTCTAGGTTGTATGACCTTAGAACGACGGCCTGTCATCATTAAACAAATCTTATTGTAGGACATTTCCAACAAAATTTGAAGGCTGGTAACCAGACTCGTACACTGTACATTAGACAAAATCACTACCGTCGGTTCTCCTACGCAGACTAAAGGCCATGGAAACTAATGCCTTTTTCACTTCACCTGAGCTAGTATACGGAACATGACTATAATCGACAGATGAGTTGGTTTCACACTATACCTTACCATAAGCAGCACATACAGCATCGTGTGTCAGCGGGCATGCAACGGCAATGCGACCAGTTAAAAAATAAAGCATTCTGGCCGCAATCCACATCCATTCACATCTTAATATTTACATGAATTCATCTGGAGTCTATAGAGGGACATATAATCAGGATAAAAATAAATGACTTCAAAGAAACTGAAGATAGAACGCGTCTCAAGTTTGACACTCCGAAGCCGAATCAC